CCTCATCTGCCCGCAGGGATTGTCATCACCAGCGTCCATCCTTACATCATCCAAAAGCTCGGGATAGAGGTGAGGACAGTCTTCTCGCTCGTTTCTTCTCTCCTCGTCTCTCGTGTTCTCATCCTTCCCCCTGCTCTCTTAGGGCGGAGATTCTCCCGTCCAGCCCGGCGATCAGATCGTCAGTGTCAACGACGTGCCATCCTGCTCCTGCTCCTGCTCCTGCTCCTTCTCCTAGTCCTAGTCCTAGTCCTAGTGCTGGCGCTGGGCTCTCCTTCGGCGCTGATTGGACTGGCAGCCGCTTGAGACAAGCTTACTGAGGAAAGCAAACAAGAAGAGCTCTGGAACTCTGAGAAAGTCCATGGTACGCTCGCTCCAGCTCCTCGTCCTCCCCTTCATTCTTTGCAGCTGCTCCTCTCTCTCGCCCCCCTCCCCCCTCTCTCTCCTCCGCTCGCTTCATCCTCGCCTCCCTTTCCTCTCTCTTCTTTCTCTTCTAGCGTCCTCCTCTACTCGCTTGTCACTCACCATGTGGTCAGGAGGGTCCCAGCACGAACGTTCCCAGCAGAAAGGTGAGCTACTGCTCAGCTGAGTCTTCCTCTGACTTGCGCGGCAGTCCATCCTCTCTGACAAGCCGTGGATCAACCTGCTCTCAAACAAGGTGAGGAGGAGGGGATAAGGGAGGAGGATGCTGAGGGGAGTAGGGAGGTACAGGAATATGAGTATGAATACGGGGATGAATAAATGGGGCTCCTGCTGCTGCTGCTGATGATGATGATGATGATGATAATGAGGAGGAGGAGGAGGAGGAGGAGGAGACGGAAATAAGGAAGAGGAGGAGGAGGAAGAATGAGGAAGAGCGAGTAGGAGTGGAAGTTACACCAGGTGGTCGCTATAGAGCAGAGAAAATGAACAGTACTACCCCCCTCCTCTCCTCTAGTACTACCCCCCTTCTCTCCTCCTCTAGTGTCATCCCCACTTGTCCCTCCCTCTTCTGATTTCCTTTCCATTTCTTCTTTCTGCTTCCTCAGCTGCTGCTGCTGCTCCTCCTCCTCCTTCAGCTGATGCTGCTCCTTCTCCTCTCCTTCTATATCGCGTCTCCATCGATCAGATGATCGATGTCCATGCGATGAATGTCTGAACCTTTGACTCCACAACTTTCCTTTCCCTCCTCTTCCCTTCTTCCCCTTTTTCCGTCTTTTTCCTACCTCCTCCTCTACTCTCCTCTCCTCTCCTCTCCTCTCCTCTTCTTTTCTCTTCTTTTCTCTCGTTGCAGTCATGGAGCTTGTCAACGGTCGCAAGGCTGACCCCTCAAGCGAACAGTGCGAGTTTCTGGCCCAAGAACTTGTCAAGTTGCAGGTAGAAATAAATCCCTTCCTCTTCTTCCTCTTCTTCCTCTTCCTCTCTCTCTTCTTCCTCCTCCTTCATCCTTCCTTCTCCCTCTTCCGTTCTCCGCGATGCTTCTGTCCTCCCTGCTTCTGCTGCCGTTCTTCATGTCCCTCCCCTCTGCCCTTGCTCCTCCTTGTGCTTCTTCACAGCGACACGAGGCACTCCTCCTCCTTCCAATCTCCTCCTCCTCCGGCCTGCTCCTTCTCCTCCGGCCTGCTCCTCCTGCTCCTCCTGCTCTCCTGCCCCTTCCCTGCTCCTCCTGCTCCTCTTGCTCCTAATGCTCATCCTCCTCTCCAGCAAAATCCCGGATCAGTCGAAGACGCGAGACCTGGTGCGCGTTGGCATCGGCATCTCCTCCATCTGCTTACACCATCACGAGGTCTTCTCCGACCTTTCCTCCTGCCTGCTCATTTCTCTTCCTCGTTTTCTCTCCTCGCTCCTCTATTTGCATCCTACCTGATCATATTTCCTCGCTTCTCTTCTCTACTTCTTCTTGTCGCTCCCCTCCTCCCCGCTCTTGTCTGCCCCCTCTCGCTCACCTTTACAGCTGCTGCTGTCCTCTCGCATCTCTCACCTCTTGTGCTCTAGATCATCGCAGTCAACGACATCCCCGTTGAGGCGCTTGCTGTCGAGGTGTGTAGCCCCTTCTCCTTCTCCTTCTCCTCTTCTCTTTTTCGCTCTCTTCCACTCATTTCTCTTGCAGGAACTCCGCCTACTCGTCAAGGGACCAGCGAGCAGCTTGGTACCTCCTGTCCTGTCCTGTCCTGTCCTGTCCTCAACTCTCTTGCCCCCCATTCTCTGCTTCCTTCCTTCTCTCTCCCCTTCTTTGTTTCGTTCCTCCCCTCTCCTTCCTCTTTCTCTGCTTAATTCTTTTCCCATCCTTCTTCCTCACATGCATCGGTAGGTTCAGCTCACAGTGCAGTCGACGAGGTGGTGGGACGCGTCAAGCAACAAGGTGAGCCAACGAGGGGCGGCAAGTGCAGCTGACGCCTAGCAGGTGATTGTGGAGAGGAGGACGCAGCAGCAGCAGCAGCAGCAGCAGAAGGATCATAGCTATAGCATCCACGTGAAAGAGTCCGAGCAAGAAATTTTCTCCAAATCGACTTGAATAATCGAAAAGAACAACACGCTCCCCCTCCTCCTCTGCCTACCTTTAG